GAGAGAGAGCACATGAGAGGGGGGAGGGTCAGAGGGAGAAGCAGACTCCCCGCCGAGCAGGGAGCCCGATGCGGGACTCGATCCAGAGACTCCAGGATCATGACCTGAGCCGAAGGCAGTCGCTTAACCAACTGAGCCACCCAGGCGCCCGGAGCAGCCTATTCTTATAAATAAAGTTTTATTGGAACTCAGCCATGCTCGCTGATTCATGCGCAGGCTGTGGCTACTTTCACACCGTAGGGCAGGGTTGAGTAGTTGCGCAGAGGCTGCCTGGCCGAAGCCTGAGACATTTACCGTCTCGCGCCGGACACGAGACGCTTGCGGATCCCTGGTCTAGCTGAGGGGTTCTGTGTGTACAGGCCTCGGCTCAGGGGCCTGAGAGCTCCCTCCCTCTCTCCCTTTCTCGCCCCCATCGCCATTTCCCTCCCTCTCTCCCTTTCTCGCCCCATCGCCATTTCCCCGCTCCACCCTTGACTTGTCCGGGCTCTCCCCACCTTCCCTGTTCTTCTCCATTCCCACCCCTTTCTCTCCAAGTCGATAAACTAATGTGTTGGAAGGGCTTCTCCCCATCACCTCCCTCTCGCACATGTCCTGCCCGCCCAGTGTCGCCCCGACCCCTGGCCTCCTCCACACTCCTCACCTCTGCCCAGGGTAGGGGTGCGATCTCCCGTGCCCAGATGCTGGGATAGAGCCCACAGAAGGGCAAGGGCCTCTCTGTTCCAGAAAGCAGTAAAATGAGCTGTCTTAGGAAGTCAGCTCCCTCCTCATCCTCCGGAGAGCTCCCCACAGGGTCCTGCACAGAGAGGTCGCTGGGTACCAGCCAGAGTGAGGTGTCCAGGCAGAGATGGATATGGGTGCTTCTGACTTTGAGAACTGCCCCTGACCAGCTCAAGAGGATACTCGAATGGAGTCTGGGGAGGCATGGAAGAGAGAAGTCAGGGAAGGCTGCAGCCAGGCGGCCCCCAGTCTCTGTAGTTACGAGGACCACATTTGTACCCCGAAACCCCAGCTCTCTCCACCCCCACAGAGCCTGGCAAGCAGGTGCCAGAGCCACGGGGTGCCCCCTCAACAGAGCCACAGGCAAGTCCTGGAGGTTTTGATGGCTCTCAGGAGTCAATGGGCCTGAAGGCTTGAAATTGGGATTGTCCTGGGGGATCCAGGACGTAAGGTCATGATATCCACAGAACTTTCCAGAACCAGGGTGGCCCTCTAGCTGCAGAGGGACATCTCTGCACTATGCCAGCTTTGCATACATTTAACACAAGGGGTCCTAAACTGTCTCTGAAGAAATGACCATGCCTCAGGGAGCGAGCGAGCCTTCCATTCCACAGCAGAAAGGGGAAGATGAGAAGCTTGATGTGCTCAGTGAAGTTGGGGGGGGGTCCGTTCAACTGTTCCCACACAAGGACATTTATTCTGCCGAGAGCCAACCTCCTAGAGGCCTGGCCGCCCTGGAGATGTGGTCCCAGCGGAGGGAGGCAGCTCAGGGTTGGCTAAGAAGACCGACACCCAGAGACAGCAAGCCCATTACTGATCCCTCCCTCCTCCTGGCCCCGCTGGCCCCCCCTCCCAGATTCCCCTGCACAGCTCTCCCTACCCTCCCAGCAGGTACTCTCTCCCTGCCACCTGCAGAGGGGAGTCCCGCAGCACCCCCACAGCAGGCTCCTTTGGACTCTCTTCATCCCAGGCACCGCAGTGCTCCTTGGAACCAGGGACCCACGTGATGCTTTTCCCAGCAGCCAGGCACCCATGGCTTCTCGCCCAGGCTCCTCCGTGTGCTGATTCAGGGACATTTACTTAGCCAGGAGCCTGCCTTCTCTCTTGTCTGGTCGGTCCCAGGAGCCTGTCCCCCAAACCAGGCAGCCAAGAGTCCCTTCCACAGGCCAAGGAGGTTTGTGATGGCAGAAAGCTTTTCTTCAGTGAGGCTCAGGAAACCCAAATGGCATGTTCTTTTCCTTTATCCAAGGCCGGACACTGAGGACGGGAATGGCGGGGGTGGTCAGTCAGCCCTACATTTCGGACCCTCGTCCTTGGCACTACCAATGGAGACACTGGGACACATGCAGTGAGATCTCCCCCCCAAACCATGGCCCTGACCTTTGAGGAGCCAAGTGATGGTGAAGTCAGAGTGGGAACAAGGGCTCTTGGAGTCAGATTTCTTCCCCAGATGGGCCATTGGGACCTGAGGGGCCAAATGTTGGCTGCTGGTTGAGGGGTGTGGGTAGGGAAAAGTGTCAGTCCTTTAAGTGTTGGTCCAGAACTACTCGAGGGTGGGGGGTCAGAGCCTCTGTTCCCACCTGACCAGGGGCCATGAGAAGAGTGTCACTGGTGGCCCTGGCCCAGGAGGGACATAGGACTTGCTGGAGAGGTCGCTGCAGCCTTGGGGACCAGCAAGCCAGGAGACCCCTAGGGCCTTCCAGCTGAGTGCACATGCAGACCCCCAAGTGAGCTTTCCACCTGCACCGGAGTCCCCTTCCCTAGCATGAACCCCCAGAAGCAGCTGTGCTAGAAAAGAAGAGGGGCAGGGAAATGGGGTCTGGCCGCTTCTGCTGCCTCTCACGGCTTCACTTTCCCCCCAGACCACAGGCAAGGGGAATAAGCTTCCCCTTGCTTTGACCAAGGAGGATACCCACTGCCTCAGGGCTGATTCAGGATCCAGGCCAACTTGGCCTTCTGCCCTGAGAAACCGTGGTTAGGTATTTGGTGAGTGTCGTGCCCCCGACACCATCGAGCGTGATGCCCGGCCCCCAAGCCCACCTCTCCGTGCCGACTCCTTCCTAACAGTGTCGCCTCGGGGACGGAGCCACGGCTGCGGCCTGCCCCGCATCGGGTGTGCCGGGAGCCCAGAAGCCGGGTTGCTGGGACCTGTCCGCGCGGGCAGCCTCGTACTCCTAACTGCCGTGTTCCCCTTCTTCCTGCACCCCCTGCTCACCCGGCCTCCTGTTTCTCTTTCCATCCATCAGGCAACACTGAGGGCCCCACAGTCTCCAGAGGCCGCCGACCAACCTTCCTTGGGACTTCTGTCTGGGCCTCATCGCAAAACTGGACGGGAGGCCCCACGATTGATGAGTTTGCCCTGGGAGTCAGTGCGAAGGTGAAACCAAAGGTGAACATGGGTCAGAAGGTCACCGGAGGGATCAAGACTGTGGACATGAGGGACCCCACATACCGGCCCCTGAAGCAGGAGCTCCAGGGCCTGGACTACTGCAAGCCCACCCGCCTGGACCTGCTGCTAGACATGCCCCCCGTGTCCTACGATGTCCAGCTGCTCCACTCCTGGAACAACAATGACCGATCGCTCAATGTCTTTGTGAAGGAAGACGACAAGCTGATCTTTCACCGGCATCCGGTGGCCCAGAGCACGGACGCCATCAGGGGCAAAGTCGGGTACACGCGCGGGCTGCACGTATGGCAGATCACGTGGGCCATGAGGCAGCGGGGCACCCACGCTGTGGTGGGGGTGGCGACAGCAGACGCCCCCCTGCACTCCGTCGGGTACACGACCCTCGTGGGGAATAACCACGAGTCTTGGGGCTGGGACTTGGGGCGCAACCGGCTCTACCACGATGGCAAAAACCAACCAAGCAAAACATACCCGGCCTTTTTGGAGCCGGATGAGACATTTATTGTCCCTGACTCGTTCCTCGTGGCCCTGGACATGGATGATGGGACTCTGAGCTTCATTGTGGATGGACAGTACATGGGAGTGGCTTTTCGAGGACTCAAGGGCAAAAAACTGTATCCTGTAGTGAGCGCTGTCTGGGGCCACTGTGAGATCCGCATGCGCTACTTGAATGGACTCGACCGTAAGTGTCCTATGTTCTGTCCAGTGTGACAGGGTTCCTGGACTCCCTGTGGCCCCGGGGTCCTGGCTGCGCCTGACCAAAAATTTATAGCCATTGGAACTAAAATGTCTTTAAGTAGATATCCCAGCATATTGAGATCCTCAGAGGCTATTCTTGCCTGCCTCTGCTTAAATGAAGAATTCTAGCTGGAGTCTGCCAGATTACCTGCCAGCACCCGATGGATGGATGAATGAGTGGGTGGATAGATGGATAAATGAGTGGATGGTTGGATGGTTGGATGGATGAGCGGATGGATGGATGGATGAGTGCATGGATGGATGGATGAGTGGAGGGATGGATGGATGGATGGATGAGTAGGTGGATGGATGGATGGTTGGATGAATAGATGGATGGATGAATGGATGGATGGATGAGTGAATGATGGATGGATGGATGGATGGATGAGTGGATGGATGAGTGGATGAATGGACATGTGGGTAGATGGATGGATGCATGGTTAGCTGCTCTTTGTTTCTGGTTGACCTGCCTCCAGTTTTGATCTGCAGTTGACCAAATTCTAGCACAGTAGCCAGCATATTATTGAGTTGGGGTTTGCAGTCTTGGGGTTATGGGGACCTCTTACATAAATGAAAGCCAGTGGCCTCTCTTATTCGTTAGACGAGCTTAGGGTCTCTCTCTTCTGGTGCTGGAATCTTCTGAGTTGGTTCCTTTAGACCATGGTCCCCTGGGAGGGGCCTGTTCAGTCATGATGTCAAGAGGCCTTTGGAGAAGAGCATGTGGATTAGAAACAGGCTGAATCAGCAGTGATTTCCACCAGTCCTTTGGAAAAGGGAGTGGCCTTTCTCAGACCACGTGGGAAAATAGCCCACATGTGGCACACCGTCTTAGTTTAGGAGGTGGAGGCCTCTGTGGCTTTGTGGCTGGTACCCCATGGTGGCAAGAGGTCCCAGGGTTCCGGAACTATCCATCCCTGTACTTGGCCCTTGCTCTTTCATAGGTCCTTTCTACCATCTGCAGACCCCACCTTGGAAAGGGGGTGGGGCAGAAAGCTTTGCCCACCCACATGTTGACTGTCCCTACAGGGCAGGTTTGGCCTGGCACCTGGTAGGCCAGGTGAGCAGTCAGGGCAGCCCCTGCCGGGGTCAGAAGCACAGACGCTTACTTTGGTCTTGCAGCCTCCAAACCTTCAGCTTCTCCCATGCCTCGTCCCTACTTCAGCCTTGGAAAATACCAGAGAAAGTATCTAGGGACATAAGTCAGAGGGAACTCTTAAACACTTCTCTTTGGAAGCCTCCACCACCCCCCTTTCCCTTGCTCCTTGCCTCTGGCTTTGGCCTGGTGATGACAATGATCTCATCTCTGCAGCCTAGTACCCCTAGGTCATGGGGCTCCCGGCAGGGGCGGCCATGTGTGCAGCCAGCAGGTACCTCCCCAAGGAAGTAACTTCAGATCTCATCTAAGGAACCAGCAGAGCAAGTTCTGTGAGTCTGTCTCCCCAGGTGATGGTAATAGAAAGTCCACAGCCAAATCTGCCCTAGGCTGGGAGGGCAGGGATTGGGAGAACCAGGCACATCCTGCCCAGGACCTTGGATCTCAGGAGCCCTGGCCCTGCAGAGGAGTGACCATGGCCCTAGTTAGTTTAATGCCCATTCCGTGCAGAGGAATGAATTGCTGGTCTCCCTGTGTTGTTGCCAGTCACTGAGACTGCTGGTCTCCACGAGCAGCGCAGCCTTCGTCCCCTCCAGGAACAGGTGCTTCAGCACTCACTGTTCACATAGCCAACTGTAATACAGAACACAGACCCCCAAGGGGCCCAGAGGGGACACTAGCCTGTTCACTGTGGCAAGTCAGGGCACACTCAAGCAGAATTATTCCTCTGCCGAGTCAGGGCAAGGCTCGGCAAAGGTTCTGCCAGAACAGTCCTGGAGGCCCAGACGGGCGTCTTGTAAATAGATAGATGCCCTGTCATCAGCTCTGCATTAGATGGGACATTGGATGCTTTTGTAATTTTTCTTGTCAGGGGAAATGGAAAGGGATTAAGGGGAGTGGGAACGGGCATGGGAATATGTTGTTGAGAGTTGCGTCTCTGAGCTGGGTCTTGGGTGGAGACTCCAAGTGTCAGTTGGCTTGAGACCACCTTGGATTCTCTTGATTAATGATGAGGACCCCTCCCTCCCCAGAAATGTCATGCTATAACCCAAGCCGAGTCTGCCTCCCCGCTGGGCAGCAAAGACAATCGCTGGGATGCAGCAAGGAAAGGATTTATTGGAGAGGTAGTCAGACAAGGAGACAGGAGGGCAAGCCTCAAATCCACCTCCCTGAAGGGAGAGCCGGGGAAATTTAAAGGCAAAAGGAAAAGGTCTGGGTAAAAAGTTGAACTGGTCGTCTGCCGCTGCGATCAGTCCCATGAACTCTTTGGTTACTGGTTTCGATACCAGGCAATACCAGGGTTCACTCCCCTGCCTCCTCGACTTCTCCAGTCCCGGTCAGACCTAAATGGGCCCCGTTCTGCGCGGCCAGTTGACTTTGGGGGATCCAGATGGGAAAACCCATGAGGGTGACGCAGCATCCCCAGCCCGATGCACATGTGGAGAGTGGGATAAACACCAGCCTCAACCTGCTTACCCATGCCTCGGTTTGGAACTGAGAGAGCATCTCATGCCCTAGAAGGATCACTCTGGCTGCTGCATAGAAATGAATGGTGGGGGCAAGAGTGGCCGCTGGGAGGCCAGGGAGGAGCCATGGTGGTTGTCCAGGGGAGAGGTGACCTGACCCGGGCTTGGGCCAGGGTGGGGGGCTTAAGTTTGAGATGCTCACTCCACACATCTAGGTGGCTCTGCAGATCTGGAGACAAGATCAGTGGGGTAGTCACCAATGGCTGAGCCCCCTGGATGAGATCACCTAGGGAGTGAGAGGACAGGGCTGAGGCGGAGCGCTGGGGCGCATCCATGTTTCGGGGTCAGGTGGATGAAGGGGAGAAAAGTAGAGTGGTCGTGGGGCTTATGGGGAGAGTAACGGCCTGGACAACAAATGAAGAGAGGACTTCCAGAAAGACAAGGCGATGCCAGGTCAAGAACGGTGATGGTTGAGAATTGTCCATCAGCTTTGGCAACAAGGCCATCACTGGTGACCTTGACAGAGTCGTCAGGGTCAGGTGGGGTCAGAAGCCTGACAGAGCAGTGGGTTTACAGAGGAACAGGAAGGGTGGTGTGTTCGATTCCTGGGGCCGCTGGAACAGATAACCACCAGCCGGGTGCTTAAGACAACAGAATGCATTCTGTCACCGTTCCGGAGCCCAGTTGTCCAAAATCGGGGTGTCAGCAGGGTTGGTTCCTTCTGAGGGCTCTGAGGCGAATCCTCCCCAGGCCTCTCTCCTGGCTCCTGCTGGTCGCTGGCAGTCCTCGCTCGTGGACGTGTTACCCCGTCTCTGCGTCCATTCCTACATGGCCTTCTGTGTCTGTCCTCATCTTACTGGGACACTAGCCATTGGATTCAGGGCCCAGCCTACTCCAGCATGACCTCATCTTAAGATGCAAATTACATCTGCAAAGATGCTATTTCCAAGAGGGCCACGTTCTGAGGATCCAGGCGGTTCTGAATTTAGGAGGGGGGACACTCTCCCCCCCATTATACATGTGGAGACAGTGACTCTAGACCATTCCTACGGGACCCCCATGCCACCCCCTGAGGGGAAAGTGAGACAGCAGTCAGATGGGGTACCCATTGGGTGAGGTCGAAGGGCGCCTAAGTCTTCTGCCCAGGAGGGTTTGCCTTGCCTTCCAAGGTAGCTGAGGAAGGGGGAATGTCATGGCGAGACCAGGTCTGTGGTCCACCGAGGGGGCAGAGTGTGACAGGCAGAAAGTCTGGCCAGGGCTGGCTAGAGACATCTCGGGGTCACAGCCTTGGAGGCAATCTGACCTGTTAGCCCTCCAAGGGCTATCTGGGAAGTCGTCTATGCCCTCCTTCCCCAGCCCAGCCCAGCCCAGCCACCAGGTCCTGACCTCAGCAGGGAACAGTGGTTTACAGAGCTGGTCAGCCAGAGTTGCTAAGCGGGGCCTCCCTGAGTGCTGTTGTACTCCCTGCCCCCTTCCCCTGTGCGCCGGGCAGACCCTCCCAGCAGAGTCCCTGCCCCCTTCCCCTGTGCACCGGGCAGACCCTCCCAGCAGAGTCCCTGCCCCCTTCCCCTGTGCCCCGGGCAGACCCTCCCAGCAGAGTCCCTGCCCCCTTCCCCTGTGCCCCGGGCAGACCCTCCCAGCAGAGTCCCTGTCCCCGTCCCCTGTGCGCCAGCAGACCCTCCCAGCAGAGTCCCTGCCCCCTTCCCCTGTGCACCAGGCAGACTCTCCCAGCAGAGTCCCTGCCCCCTCCCCCTGTGTGCCGGGCAGACCCTCCCAGCAGAGTCCCTGTCCCCGTGCAGGGGCCAGGGCAAAGGCAGAGAGTGATCAGTGTGTCCCTGTGTGACCTCCCCCACCCTCCAGCCAGCTCTGACCAAAGCCACTTGCTCTGACTCCTCAGGCCTTGAGACCTTCTGGGGCTGAAGCCACAGCTAAGAGGGACTATGGTGTCACCTTCCTCTTTCCCGGGGTGAAGGGGTGGAGATGACCATTGTAGGGGGGAGACAGGGCCCAGCGTGGCCCCCAGGCCTGCCCACTCCCTGGACATGCAGAAGGAAAAGACCTACTTGCAAGCTGCAGACTGGCCGTCACCCAAGGGAGAGTCCCTGCCCATGGGTCCTCCCTTCCCCCACCGCTTATGACCGCATCTCCCACTAAGGAAGGCTTTTGTCTGCATTCCTCCTTTTTCAAATTCTCCCTTTTACGGCTCCCAGAGAAGTTTGGTGAGGTTTTTTTGTGATTGTGGGTTTGGAGAGGGCTCAGCTCTTTTCCTCAAGAGGCTTTTGACTTGGTGACCTCCTCCTGGTGTCCTCCTGGCCTCCCTAGATGCCCTCCCAGGGCACCTCACCCGACGGTGGCTCCTACCTGCACCCGCATTCCAGCTGGGCTCCAGGGAAGTGCCTAGTCAGGGGCACTAATCTCCCCAACCTGCAAGGGCTTCTTTCTGGGGGAGAGAGGCCACTTAGGAGGGAAGGGGTCATTCTGGGCCCCTTTTCCCCCAAAAGTCTGGTCATATGAGGACAACAGGCTCTCGGAGTCGGGGGAACAGGGAACCAGAGTTGCGTCGTCACCCAGCCGGGTGTCAGGCATCCTTCCCTGGTTGCCAAGAACAAGGGGTCGGTGTTTTGTTTTGCTTCTTTTTTGTAAAAACCGCTTACTGTCAAGGGGAAACGCACACATATCCTGATGGTCCTCCAAGATGGCCATCCTCCACCCATGACTTTCTAGAATCCATTTCACGGAGCATTTTCACTGTAAGCTACGTGCAGGAGTAAGCATGCAGTCAGTCAGTCTCAGGACCGGTGCAGACGATGGGTGAGAATGAGAACGTGGCTGGGTCAGGGGCAGTTCCTGACGTGAGCCATCTGTCCTTGACCTCACAGACCCAAGTTCATTCCGTGACAGCACAGCAGCAGGCTGTGAAGGCGTGAGTTGGGTTGTAGTCTCTCTGAGAAGTGCGGGACAGCCACAGGCTGGCGTGCTGGGCTGTGCATGGTCAGGACACCAGGTAATCATTCCTCCTAGACATGTGGAAGTGAGTGCAGAGACCCATCCGGTTCTGCAACCTTTGGCTCCCATAAATAGCACCTGATTCACTTCCCAATTTCTGTGCTGTACTCAGTGCCCCCCCCCCACCCCGCCATTCATATAAACTATGTAAAGTTTAGGACGAGCATCTCAGCTTCCTGGAGGTGGGCCCAGCGGCCGAGGCCCCTTGCACAGGTCATCAAAGAAACTTTGGCCTTCCCTGTTTGGGAACTTCTTTGGTGGAACTTCAGGGGGTACTTGGCTTTGTGGATGGAGCTGGATACAGAGCCTGCAGGCCCCCGGCAAAAGCGTTGAGGTGGGGAAGGCCTTCTCGGGTTCCGTTAGTGACCAGCTGAAATCAGGACAGACATTTTCCGTGGCCTGGTGCCCACATCCGGTTGCACTCCTGGTCTCTGCCCGGCCTTTGGAAAGCAGTCAGACCATGACCCTGTGCATCATCGTTTGTTCCCTACAAGAGCCAGGAAGGAGGGGGATGATCTGTGCATGTATTTGTGGCCCCCAAGAACAGACCCATCCCTGGGCTGCTTGCATGACTGGCCGTATTTTCAGCTCAGGGTGCATCCCTGCATCTGCTGTAGCTGCTTCTTCTGCAACTCATCCCGGCAGATCTGGGATGTCTGAAAGACGCATCCCTTCTGGGTTCACAACCGCTCCCTAACTGGATTATTCAGTGTGGTCCAAAGATGGTCAGGCAGAGGGAGCTCCCATGTTGGCGGAGAGAGAGCCAGACTATTGGCTGGACCTGGGTGTCTATCCACATTCTAGCCCTGGCTCTCCCCTCTTCAAGCCATTTCCCCATCTATAGATTGGGCAGGGGTGGGGACCACAGTGCCCGCCAGGAACCAAGCTGCTGCTCGTGCTGCGATGTTAATTTCAGGTCAGCTGTCACCAAAAATAAGGGAGCTGGAGCGGGGGCTGTGCAGGGTTCTGCCATTTAGAAACATTTCTTAGTGAGGGTCCCCATGGGATGCCTGAGAAACCATTAAGCTAAGAGGCTCTGACGGGAACTCCCTCTCAACCCTCCTTCCGCAGCCCTGCACGGCACTCTGGCCACATTCAATGGCTCTTGATACTTTCTCAAGTGTCCCCAGCCAGCAGGGGAAGCCCCTCTGCCTCCCCATGGGGGCCGAGCCACATTCTGGAGGGAGAAGGGGCTGGCCCGATGTGGCAGATGGAGAGAGCTCCTGAGTGGGGGAGAGGAAGGGCCGCCGAATTCCCCCACTCGATCCACTGAAGGGCCACTCAGCGTGTCCAGGCCAAGAGCCACTGGGAGGCATTTCTGGCCTTCGGGATCTCAGCGGGAGGAGACTGAAGCATCTGCTCCGGATTCCTCATCTTCCAGATGGGGAAACTGAGGCCTAGGCAGCGGGAGGGGTCTGCTCGAGGTCAGGCTGCTGGGCAGGGTGGAAATGAGGAGCCAGATGTGGGGCCGCACACACAGGATGCCTTACGATGAGGGAGACCCAAGGTTCTGTGGGCTCGCAGGCGGGAGAAGCCCGTCCCTGCTCACCAGGAGTCTGGAATGCTTGGACCCCAAAGGGCGGAAGATCATTTAGCTCATCCTCCTGCCTCTAGGCAGGGCTCCCCTTAATCATCCTGTGCTGTCCAGGAACGGCCCCGTTTCAAAGCTTTTCATGAAAAACATTGACCAATTCGGTTCCCTTTCCCGTCTCGCTGTGGCTAACAGCCCGTGGGAGATGAAGAGCAGTTGCTCGCCTTCTTTTAAAGCCAGGAATTTAGTCAGTGTGTTACCAAGCCTGAGATTTATTCTTTTCATAACAGCTCGGTTGAGATGTAATTCACAGGCTGTTCTAGTCCCGCATTTAAAGCGCATGACAGCCTTGCCACCATCAATACGATCAGCTTTAGAACACCTTCATGCCCCCCAAAAACCTGTACTCATCAGCAGTCTCTCCCTATTCCCCCCACGCCTCCAGCTGTAGCATTTGCTCATCGATAGTTCAGTTTTTTAAATATTATTTTTAAAATTTGGAGACACACGTTGATCCACTTCTCACGGGGGGCATGGGGTCTTGAGGGAAATGCTGGGGTTTTTTTTTTTTCTCAGTTTTTTGGTCACAGGGCAGTCTCAGTGTCAAGGGGAGACCCTGGCCGAAGCCACAGACGTGCTCCCTTCAGCTCTTTCCAGATCCGCGACGCCGTGGGTCGGCCCTGAGCAGCTCCAGGCGTGCTCCCCTGCACCTTGCTTCTGGGAAGAGAGCCAGGAAGAGTCAAGTGCAGGGAGGCAGGGAGAGCGGGGCCCACTCTGCCCCCCGCGGCCTCCAGGGCCTGGGAGGGAGTGACTTTCACACTCCGTCTGGAGCAGGGTTTGTCTGGAGCAGAGTTTATCTGAGACTCGGGCTGCATGGAGCATCCCTTGGGGGAAGACAGGTGTCCCAGGCCATCTGGGGACATAAGGACCGAAGTGCTCATGCAGGCTGCAGCTGGAAGTCCCTCTCAAATACAGGTGCCCAAGGCAGCACCACCGTGAGCCCTGGCCTCAGTTTCCCTGGCTGTGAGATGCTCTGGCGGTGCCCGGGGCAGCCTCGAGGGTCCCGGCTGCGGCGGCTGGGCTCACATGTCCACTTCCCCTTGCCTGGGCCCCTCGGCTTCACTCCGTCAGGTGGGAAGAAGTGCGAGGACCTAGGGCTTCTATAGACACTCCCCCTTCAGGCCGTGGGGCGGCTGGGCCTGCCTCCTGTAGAGTGTGTCTCTGGACCGGCATTTCTTCCATCTTCCTTGGCAGCACGGTTTGGTGGCTAAGGATGTGGTTGCTGAGCCCGGGCTGCCTGGATTCGGACCCCAGCGTGTAACCTTGACGCATCAGGCCCCCTCGGCCTCAGTGCCCTCACCAGTGAGGTGGGGACTGCTGCAGCACCCACGAGCACTGGGCTAACGTGGATTCCCTTCCCGAATGCCTGCGCGGGGTCTGGAGCTCTGGCCTGTGCTGGGACGGGCTGTCTTCCATGCACCCGGTCGGACACGCCATGAAGGCTTGTCCGGGGGGGTAAGAGGAGCGACGGCCTGGGTTCAGATCCAGCTCCTCCTACCAGCGCTGTGACCCTGGGCAAGGTATTTGGACTCGCTATCCCTCAGTGTCCTCATCTGTAAAATGGGGATGATAATGCGGATGCCTCCCCGGGAAGGGTAAGTCCCCGAGAACAAACCGTAGTAAACCGTCCACTGAGCTGGAGTCTCCAGAGGCCTCACAAAGGCGCCCGGCCCAGAACAGGTTCTCCGTGTTAGCGACGAACAGCTGGTTTAAAATGTGAAGCTGGCTCGTTACTAATCGTCTACCGACGCTCGTTCCGCTACGGTGGCTGTCCTTGTTAGCGCTGTTCGTCCCAGAGCCTTCCAGAGCTGTGCTAACGTGTCCTCGCTCTCTCCCCCGCGCCCCCAGCCGAGCCCCTGCCGCTCATGGATCTCTGCCGCCGCTCGGTGCGCCTGGCCCTGGGCAAGGAGCGTCTGGGGGACATCCACATACTGCCGCTGCCGGCCTCCCTCAAGGCCTACCTCCTGTACCAATGACGCTGCACTCCTGCATCTCCAGCACGCCGGCCACCTGGTGCTGCTGCACCCTGCGCCTTGGACCGGGATCCGGCCCCCGGGAGGGAGTGCCTGCTCCTCCTCCCCGTCCTCCCCGCCGCCCCCGCCGGCCGCCCACAGCTTGACACAGGCTCCTCCAGTCCCCGTCCCCACGGAGGCAGAAGCCCCCCGCGTGCCGCGTCCACAGGCCCTCTTCGGAAGAAGACACAGAGAACAGACTCCTAGGA